GCAACAGCAGGAAGACTCGCCTTTAGAGCAGAAGGGTACGGATATTAGTATCTCTGTAGATGAAATTGCATAGGCTGTGAAAATCTTGAAAAATGGAAAAGCTGATGGAATTGACGAAATCCGCCCTGAGATGCTCTAGGCATTAAGCGAACAAGGCATGTACTGGATAACACGTGTCTGTCAAACTGCGATGATTGCGGGAAAGACACCAGCTGACTGGAAAGCGGGAGTTATTGCACCCGTATTCAAGAAGGGAGACCACAAGGAATGCTCCAGTTATAGGGACATAACGTTATTGAGCCTCCCAGGTGAAGTCTACGCAAAGGTGTTAGAAAGGAGGTGCCGCGAAATAGCTGTTCTAAATATAAAACAGGAGCAGTGTGGCTTCCAGTCAGGTGGAAGCACTTCTGACCATGATTTGGCCTGCACCAGATTGTTGATAAACCGTGGGAATATGCCCGTCCGGTGTCTTGTTGACCTAGAAAAAGCAAAAAAAAACCTAGTGGTCATGCCTTCGAGCATACAGGATAGATGGCCAGCTGCTAAGCGCCATTCAATCACTGTATTCTGATAGCAGGTGCTGCGTCAGAGTTAATGGCATTAAGTCGAAACCATTGAATGTTCGCAATGGTCTCCGCCAAGGCTGCGTCCTGTTCCTTATACGGTTTGTGTTGTACAGAGATAGAATAATCAGGAGCTGCCAAGGTTATGAGAGTGCCAGTGTAAGGGATGTGGAGACGAAAAGGTTGCTGTTTGCAGAAGACTGTTTTATTACTATCTTCTGAAACTGATCTTCAATGCTCTCTAGAAGGGTTCGCAGCCGAGTGCGACGTGACCGGCATGCATGTGAACGCATCTAAAATGAAAAGCCTAGTGCTTTCTCGTTCTTCTGCCCGTTGATCTCTTCAGATTAACGGAGAGGCAGTGAAGCAGGTAGAGAAGTTGAAGTACCTCGTAACTGTATTTACTAGTGATGGAAAATTGGAGGAAGAGATCGACCGGGTAATTGAAGTAGCCAGTGGCGTTCTGCGTGAACTTGCCCGACACAC